GCCGCAGAGTCCCAGTGCTGAAGCTTCTTACAGGAACCATCTGTGAACACCGTGCCCGTGATGATGAGATGCTCCGAGCGCGCTCCACGATCATAGTGCCAGGCGCCTGAGTCGTCCCGCGGCGACAACGCGGGCAGGAAAGAATTCGGGCCCCCAGGCGCAGTGCGACACGCCGCAGCCATCTTTTCCGCATCAACATCGTGCTCACGATATATGCAGCCGAGGCAAGGCAGAACCAGTACCGATGATGCAAGGTGCCCTACGCCACATCACAGTGCAGGCAGTGAGGGTGATCGGCGTACGCGTTCTGGTGGAGCCTCTTCTGCGAGTAGGGCGCTCCGAACACGGCAGTACAAATCGCGGCACGAGCATGTGGATCCAGCACCGAGCGCTTAGCCTTCAGACCCGTCTGCAGCAGACCACGAGTGGGCGCCAGCCAGGCACCAGCGGGGCCCCTGCCTGTAGCTTGGGCCAGGGATCCCAGGCATGACCTCAACACGGCCCGACCACTGTAGCCAACCAAGGGCCTCGTAGCCCTGCGGAGCAAGCCACTTCACGACCGAAGGTGCAGCTTCACGAAGGTCGAGAACTTCACCTCCACGCGAGCGCAATGTCAATGCCGAAGAGCATGTCCAACCCAGTGTGACCAGTGACCTCGAGAGGGCGCCCGCAGGGCCTATCGCGTGCCTCCAGCTTTCCTCAGGTGGTACAGCTGGACTCTTCGTGAACTGCGAACGCCAGGCAGCCTGCATGACATCTTGAGGCGCGTCACCATCGTGTAGCAAGACTGCCCCTTTGTGGATCGGCCCAGCCACGGACACACATGCCGGTTCATGACCAGGTACTCAATCGAGCTGTGAAGCGATCCAGTGCGAGCTGCCTCGAGAAATGGCGGCCCTGCCCTGCTTGATCTGCGCCGTCATGCGCTGAGCGACGTGGGGAGCCGCGCCCAAGATGCCGAGGCCGTAGGCGACAGCGGGGCCGATGGCAGCGCGTGCAACCTTCCTGAACCTGGCGCCTATGGCGATGAGACGCTGGACGTGCCTGGCCCTCTTGTTGACCGAGCGCTCTCGGCGGCGTAAAACCTGGACTTGCGTGGGTTTCCCCGCTTGCACTTCAAGACCCGAGATCTCCAGCCAGGATGGCGCACGGAGTCCGTAGCGCTGCAGCTTCCGAGCCACATTTGGGGGGCGGTGTTGTCGTCGGGCGCAGCGAGCAAGGCCCTGGACTTGGCCACGGGGAGAGGCCCAGGTCCTGCACACGGCGTCGCAGAGCAGCGGGATGGCGGCGGCCGACATCTGCAGCAGGTGGCGCTGCCCTCCTCCTCCTCCTCCTCCTCCTCCTCCTCTGCCTCCTCCTCCTCCTCCTCCTCCTCCTCCTCCTCCTCCTCCTCCTCCTCCTCTTCCTCCCGCGGAGAGCTGTGTGTGTGTGTGTGAAGGGGCGGAGAACCCGGACATGACCTGCAGCGGAAGGTCATCGGCGAACATGTCCAGCGTGAAGGTGGACCAGCAGCCGTGGGCAGCTTGACCAGCAGCTTCGCGAACTTACAGCCTGTCGAGGACCCCTGCTGCACCACGGCTGCGTACGACGTCGCCTAGGGCTAAACCAGGCGACGCGGGGCCGCGCACACAGCCAGCGCGCAGGCCAAAAGCTGGCGCGGGAAGTCGTGCTTCTTGGCGGCAGCGACCAGTCTCCACCAACAGACGCGATCGAAACACTTCGCGATGTCCACGGTTGCGGTGACAACCCCCGCGCCTCTGGCAAGAACTGCCTCTGCGTGCAAAGGAGCACGGGATGCCACGTCCAGCGTAGTCTTCCCTGCCGGCAGCGCGAAGTAAGATCGATCACGAGCAGCAAGCCAGTCACGAAGCTGCTGACCACGTAGCTGAGACCAGACACGGTAAGCGGCCTGAAGCAACGCGATCGGCCACCAGCCGCGTTTCGGTTTTGCCAGCAGAACAATGTGCGCAGCCATGAGCTGAGTAGGCCAGCGCTCCCAATGCTCCGCCAACCACATGGTGCAGACCAGCAAAGAGAGGGTGGCGCTCGTTCAGCCGTGAACGATCGCGCATTCCCGTTCAAGGCTGGCCGATTCCTGACCACTGTCCGCGTTGATTCCGAACGCCCGCGCTGGTGTCGCCACCGCGTCGGCACGACGTAAACCTACCGTTGTGGAGGAAAACGCGTTCTTCCTAGGGGGTCGCTTCTCCAGTCTAGGATATGTTTTTTCAGGCCCTCCTGGTTGCAACGGATCTTCGAGGCCGACGTCGAACTCAAACGCCCCAAAATTGCAGAAGCTCCAAGAAGCCTGGCGGCTTCCAGCGGTTCCCAGTGGCACAGGACGAGCAAACTTCTGAGCCATCTTAGGCCCCAAATAATGGGGTGTTGAACTCCGGTGGTGCACGTTTTGCGGCTTAAACTATGTGGTGTGAGCGTTGTGTGGCAACAGTGTGGTGTGGGCTATGCGGTGGGACCTCTGCGGTGGTAGCTATGTTGTGTAAACTATGTAACGCGTGCGATGTAGTGGTATCTACAGGATGTAAGCTGTATGGTGCAGGATAGGTGGTATGAACAATATGTTGTGAACACCGTTGTGGAAGCTATGCGAAGAGCAAGACCTCTGCAAGATACATGGCGTGGGGCTCACGAGCGCCCACGATGCAGCATGGGCGGGCACGTCTTTCGCGGAGGCTCTTCGTTGGAGAACTTCCTGTGCGGGCTGCACGAATGCCTTTCAAGGTCTTCGGGGTCCTCTGGGGGCCTCCTGGGCGCCGTTCTGGGCCGTCCTCCTTTTGAAGCCCATTTGGGCCGTCTTGGGTCACTCTTGGGCCGTGCTGGGGCCTTCTTAAAGGAATCTGGGTCCGCTGCGGGTTTTTTGGGGTTCATCTTGAGCCAGGGCACTCGTGGGTCACCCTTGGGGCCACTCATGGCACTCTTGGGTTCGCCCCTCTCTCTCTCCTTTTCCTCGGCCTTTCGTTCCCGCTCGTCGCGCGTCTCTCCGCTCTCGTGCGTCCTTCCACCCCCCTGGGCGGTCTCGGCTGTATCCAGACCAGCCGTGGCACTATCTACAGGAGCCATCCGGGCCACACTTTCGTTTGCACACTGCGCCGGCATGTCCGTCGTCCCTCTCGTGTGTCCGTCGTCCGTCGTCCGTCGTCCCTCTCGTCGTTCGCGTGTCCGTCGTCCCTCTCGTGTGTCCGTCGTCCCTCTCGTGTTCGTCCCTCCCTCTCGTCGTTCGTCCCTCCCTCTCCTCTTCCTCGGCCTCTCGTCCCCGCTCGTCGTGCATCCCTCTCTGCTCTCGTGCGTCCTTCCTCCCCCCGTCGATGGTCCCAATTGTCTCCAGGCTGGATGTTGCATGGACATTATATTCGAACCCTGTGGCCCAAGATGCCCCCCCGAACCCCCGAATTTAATATTGATGGCGTGGCGACGGGGGGGGCGTGAGTGGGCAGAAATATTCGAACCCCAAAGCACCGCCTTTGCTGAGATCAACATTGATGTCGGGGGCGCGGGGGTGATTCAGAATCTCCCTCGAATGTGTGAGGGTTCGAATATATTGTCCATCTACTGGGGCAGTCGAGGAGGCTACAAGGTCGATGCTTGTCCGCCTGTCTGCTGCCGTAGACGGCTCCGCCTGCCTGCACGCAGCTTACCGCCCTTCCCTGAATTGGGGCCAACGATGAGGCAGTGTCCCGGGGCAGGTTTTTCGACCCCTTACATCTTGTTTGCGAGTGTGCGCGTGGGATGGGGTGCACGCGCCTCCAGAGCGAACTTTTTACACAACAGCAGGGCTGGGTTGGCTTCGAACGACCATGTAGTCACCAGTCGCTCTAAGTTTAGAGCCTTTGGGGGCCTCGTGAGTTTCTTGTGGGCCGTCTTGGGACAGTCTTGGGGCCCTCTTGGTCTATTTTGAAGCCCTCTTGGGGGCCTCTTGGGTCATTTTAGGGCGATCTCGGAGGCCTTTTGGGCCGTCGTAAACGATGCTACGACACAGAAAAGCAACTATGCTGATAACGCCCTTTTTCCAAAGGGAATGGGTAGATGTTTGCATATTGGGGGCCCTCCTGAAGGCCTCTTAAGGCGTCTCGGGGGCCTCTTGGGCCGTCTTGGGGGCCTCTTGGGCCGTCTTGAGGCCGTCTTGCGCTGTCCTGGGGCTCTCCTGCGCCTCTTCGACCACGTCTCAGATCGCTTTGGGTCTGCTGGGCACGGCCCTGCAAGGCGCCCTGGGAGGCGCGGCAGGGCTGGGGGACCCTTCCAGGGGCGTCCAGGGGGCCCCAGAGCCCCAGATCCCGATGAGTCCCGTTTTGGGTTGGGGGGAAGGTTTTCCCCGCCCCCCTGGCTTGTAAAGAATAAAAGCAAGAGGAATATTTTGTACTTCCAGTTGGTGGTGGCGGGCCTATAGTGCCCACACGTACTACGCCAGGGGTGATGTGGATTTTTGGAAGAAGTAATCCCTCCGTCCCCTCCCCTCCCACGTGGCTCAACGTCCCTACTCCCCAACGGGGCACGAAGTCCCCACCACCCATACAAGAATTCATGTTGCTGCTAGCGCGCGTGTCGCTCTCCAACGTACTGCTAGTCCCAATCGTGTTGATAGTGCCAGTAGCTCCCGTGCTGCTGATCGAACAGGTGCTGATCTACTGGTACACAGTCGTGCTTTTCGCACGTGCTGTTCCTCGCACTCCTAATGCTCACCAACGCCCTGTTGGGCCCAGTCGTGCCAGTAATGCTCGTGCTGCTGCGTGCGCTCGTCCTGCTCACCGATGAGGAGGAGTGGAGGGAGGGGAACGAGCATCGTGATGATGAGGAGGAGGGACCCAGAGGGCAGTGGAGGCGAACACGCGGGGGAAGGACGAGGATGAGGAGCAGGATGAGAGGATGACGATAATGAGCAGTGGAGGAGGATGAGGATAATGGCACATGTTCTTCATCCCCCTCCACCACTCGCGGAGGGCGGTTGATGCGGAGTTTGGCGTGTTTGATCGGGAATCTCGTCTGAGGTGCGACAGCTACGGCGCCGACTCCGTCCGCATGTACATGTGCAACTCGCCCGTGGTCCGGGCGGAGCCACTGAAGTTCGCCGAGGCTGGCGTCAGGGAGGTCGTGAAGAACGTGTTCCTGCCGTGGTACAACGCCTACCGCTTCTTGGTCGGGGAGGCCCGCCGATGAACACGGGATTCTTGGTCCCGTCCGCTCGACCCTTAGCGTGGGGCCCCCTATGCCCAGGGAAACGGCTGCAAATGTCCGCGGCGGACGTGCGGTTCAATCGGTAAGGTTCCTGGGGCCGTAGACTTTGGGCGACGCTGCTAGCAGGCGACACGCTACGAGGCCAGTGAGAACGCAGTCTTCAAGCAGGACAGCGAGCGCATCAAGAAGAGCACCAATCTGATGGACAGGTGGATCAACGCATCCTCACATCAGCTCATCAAGTTTGTCCGCGAGGAGATGGACGCCTACCGTCTCTACACGGTTGTTGGCGGGCTTACGAAGTTCCTCGAGGATTGTGCTACACAGCACTTTCGGGCAAGCTCTAAATGATGAGCCGATATTCCACCACCACTTCCATAGGTAGCAGAGGGAGGAGGAGGAGGTGGAGGAGGAGGAGGAGGACATCCCCATCCTCCCTTCTCCCTCGTCCTACCCGTGGCAGTGGTGGTGGAACATCGGCCCATCACGAAACTTTGGCGTCCGCTCTCAAAGCCCAGAGTTCCCCCAGTGCACGTAGAGGCGGTGCGGACCGGCGGGGCTCGCAGCGGGAAACATCTCTAGACGCTTGGCTGCTGCTCCGGCTGGTTTGCTCCCGTGTCTGTCGCGTAGGACCTCTGAGCCTACAGCGCCTGAGTGCTTGCGATGCGTATCCAGTTCAATAGTAGATTTGTCAGAGGAGGAAAAGGTACCCATACCGCTACTGTTCCCGTGTTTTCTCCTTTTTGGGCCTCCTGGGAGGCTCTCGTCGCCTTGATGCGTCTCGAAGTTCTGGTCAGAACGCACCCTTGGAGAGGTCAAGGGAGTAGCGGTAACGGTACTTCTTGGTTTCCCCAAGATTTGGCCACCTTCCCCAGCTACGTCTGTCGATATGATCTGCGTAAAGATCGTTCTCTTTTTTTTTCCGGATGTAACGCGTGTTACCCCCCCGACCCCCCCCCCACGTAACGATGACGCGGGGAGACCGGCTACAGACGTGAACGCGTGCAGTTTCCCATTGAGGAGGTGGAGGAGGAGGAGGAGGAGGAGGAGGAGGAGGAGGAGCACCTGCAGGAGCAGCAGCAGCAGGGGGCGGAGGATGATGATGATGATGATGATGATGATGATGAGGAGGAGGAGAGGAGGAGGGGAGGAGGAGGAGGAGGAGGAGCACGAGGAGGAAGAGGAGGACAGGAGGAGCTGTGTAAGAGGTGAGGAGGAGGAGGTGGAGGATGAGGAGGAGGAGGGGCAGGTGGAGGGGGAAGGAGGAGGAGGAGGAGGAGTTAAAGGAGGGGGTGACGGAGGGGGAAAAGGAGGAGGACGAAGACGACGACGACCGACGTGGCCCGGAGGCCCCGAGAGGTGCACGCAGACACGGGGGCCTCGTGGGGCACACGGTTGTTGCCGCTGCTGCTGCGGCAACAGGTGGTGTACAGAAACGTTGTGGTGCACGCAGGCATCGGGGTGCATGCAGGGTGAGCTCACACAGATAGTGTGGTGCACGCAGGCACAGTGGTGTACACAAGCGCTGCGGTGCACTTGGTTGCTTTTACTACCACCATTACTACTACTAATGCTACTACTGATACGGCTAGTATTATTACTACTACGACCACCACCACTACTACGACCGCAACGACGACTACTACTACTACTACTACTACTACTATTACGACGACGACTACTACTACTACTACTACTACCAGTACTACCAGTACTACTACTACTACTATTATTACTACTACTACTGCTACTACTACTATTTTTTATTACTATTACTATTACTACTACCACTACCACTACAACTACTACTACTACTACTACTTCTACTACTACTTCTACTACTCCTACTACTACTACTACTACTACTATTATGATTCTTACTACTACTACTACTAATTCTACGACTACGACTACTACTCCCACTACTACTACTACTGCTACTACTACTACTACGACTACTACTACTACTACTACTACTACTACTACTACTACTACTACTACTACTACTAATACTACAGCCACTAATACTACAACAAGTCTTATTCCTACTACGAAGACTACAACTACTCGTACAACAACAACAACTACTACTACTGCCAGTACTATCATAGAGATCCCACGATTACTGTTAGTACTACTGCTACCACTGATACTACTTCGACTACGACGACTACCACTACTACTACTACTACTACTACTACTACCACTACTACTACCACCACTACGACTACGACTACGACTACGACTACTACTACCACTACTACTACTACTACTTCTACTACTACTACTACTACTACTACCACTACCACTAACACTAGTACGGGTACTACTTCTACTACTACTACGACTGCTACCACCAGTACTGCAATTACGATGATCTTATTACTACCACTACCACTACCACTACCACTACCACTACCACTACCACTACCACTACCACTACCACTACCACTACCACTACGACGACTACATGACTACTCGTGCTACTACTGCTGCTGCTACTTCTACTACTAGCACTGCTGCTGCTACCCGTACAGCCAGATACGACTAATGCTATAACTACCGCTACCACTACCAGTACTACTATTACTACGACTACTACTTGCTGTCAGCATTTTTATCCACCGTATACAATGAATATTCCTATTTCGGATACTACCGCTTCTACTATTACTGCTGCTGCTACTACTACTACTACTACTACCACTACTGCAAACATGTCTGTCACTAGTACTACTACTACTGCTGCTACTACTACTACTACTACTGCTACTGCTACTGCTACTGCTACTGCTACTGCTACTACTACTACTACTACTACTACGACTACTACTACTACTACTACTACTACTACTACTACTCCTACTACTACTACTACTACTACTACTACTACTACTACTACTACGACTACTACTTCTACTACTACTACTACTACTACTACTACTACTACTACTACTACTACTACTACTACTACTACTACTACTACTACTACTACTACTACTACTACTACTACTACTACTACTACTACTACTACTACTTTTACTTTTACTACTACTACTACTACTACTACTACTACTACTACTACTACTACTACTACTACTACTACTACTACTATTACTCGTACTACTACTGTTTTCTGGCCCCGAGGGCCCTTCCCCGGGCCCCAGGACCAACGGCTCTGGACCAAAGATAGTCTTTGGGGAAGCACAAGCAACCAGGACATGTTTTCCTCATGGTCCTTCTCCTCATGCCCTAAGGGACCATCCACCGAACGCCAGTGTCGTCGCAGGAGGGATTCCCGACGGACTGACTTTTCGCGCCCGGCGGCTGACCGACTGACTTGTCGACTGACTGATTCACGTCAAGTGTCAGTTCGGAGAGCTCATTTTGCGCCGCCCGCCGCCTCGATACCTGCTACCTCGACCGCACGCAAAGCCTCAATCCGGCAAGTGCATGTTTTTGTTCGGCGAACCTGGAACGTCCGTTGCGGGGAGTCGCCCCCTCCCCTCGCCCCCCCCTCCCCGTAACGGTAGCGAGCGTTCGCGAAGGCGGTGCCCATTCCCCCACAGGCACGGCATGGTGTTCACAGGCATGTTGTGGTATTGATCGGCGTGCTTTGGCGCTCACAAGAATTCTGTGGCTCTGGCAGGCCCGATCCACCCCTCCCCCATACGTTGCGGGGGAGATGTAACACCAATCTCCAATCCTGTCTGGGCCGCGGGCACCCGCAACAACAGACAGGCAGCACATCTTGGTCGGGATCCGCCGTCGCAGTCGCAACAGAGCAGCACGTTTTGGGCCGCGGGCACCCACAGCCGCACCCGCGACTGCAATCGGAGCCTCTTGAGGCCTCGTCGTGGCCCTGTTGGGGCAGTCTGGGCCCCATGGGACTAATTGAGCCCAGCTTGGCAGAGTACAATAGTAGTCATCCTCACCACCGTCAGCATTGCCCCCATCATCGCGTTCTTATCATCACCACCATCGTCGTTGTCATCGTCATCACCTTGTTCATCACCGCCGCGAATATCCCCACAGCTGTCAGATTCGTCCACGTTCGTACCCGCGACAGAATTCCTGTCATCATCACTATTGCCATCACCACCGTTCTGTTCACAACCGCCACTGTCACTATACAAAGACTCCGCGTTGCCCCTTTGTACCGCTATAAGCGGCCTTCGGGTGTGGCCCGCGATGCTCCGCCAGGACACGCTGGTGCCTTTGGTGTCCTTTCAGACCCACGGTAGGAGCTCACCAACTGGTACATCCGACTGAATCGCGACAGGATCAAGGGCGACAACGGCACCGAGGAGACAGTCACCGCGCTGTGCACCTTGTACGACGCGGTCCTGAACGTGACCATCATGCTGGCAGCAGTCACTCCGTTCATCACTGAGATGATCTATCAGAACCTGGCTCCGACGCGTCGATTTGTGTGCGTGTGACCGAGATCGGTCTTTAGACCCCTTCCGTTCGACGCCCTTTTTGACGGACTAGGGTCCCACCAATCGTGGAACGTAATTCTTGACGCTTCGTGTATCCCCACCATCCCATCCAGACACGATCGGAGGTTTTTCTTGAGGCCTCTTGGAGGTTATCTTGAGCCATGTTCGGCTAGAGGCTGCAGGAGGCTATCCTGAGCCATGCTCGGCTATCTTGGACCGTCTTGTGGCTGTCTTCAGGCCTCTTGGAGGTCTGTCGGAGGCTATCTTGAGCCATGCTTAACCTCCTAGGACCATCTTGGGGGGTAGGAGGAGGAAGAGGAGGAGGAGGAGGAGGAACACGGCGTGAGGAACATAAGGAGGAGGAGGAGGAGGAGGAGGAGGAGGAGGAGGAGGAGGAAGGGGAGGGAGGAGGCAGGAGGAGGAGGAGGAGGAGGAGGAGGAGGAGGAGGAGGAGGAGGAGGAGGAGGAGGAGGAGCGAGGAGGTAGGACATGATGAGGGAAGGACGAGACGATGACAAAGAGGATGAGACATCGGGCTTTGGAGGTACGTTGTGATGAAAGGTGCTTAACGGACGACGGAGGCCATCTTAGGGGTTCTCTGAGGGCCCCCGTGGGGCCTCTTGGGGCACTCTTAGGGCCCTCTTGGGGTTCATTTTGGGGCTCTTGAGGCCCCTTTGGGGCTCCTTGGGGGGTCTGGGAGGCCTCTTGAGGCAACTCTAGGCACACTGTTCAAAAAGAGGGGGAGTCCTAAATTCAACTCGCCCTCTCGGAGGCTCACACATTACGTCTTGGGGCCGTCTCGGTGCGCTCTTGGGGCCGTCTTGGTGCGCTCTTGGGGCCCTCTTGGGGCATTCTTGGGGCCCTCTTGGGGCTCTCTTGGGCCGTCTTGGGGCCATCTGAAGGCCTCCGAGGCCCATCGGAAGCGATACTGCGAGAAGGCAACGCACATTGATTTCCGCATGGTTTTGGAGCCAATTTGGCCTCGTGGGGGTGGGGGGGGTCTTTGGAGGGCCCGGGGGGCACTTGAAACCATCTCGGGGCCGTCTTGAGGCCTCTTGAATGTGCGTCGGCGGCTATCTTGCGCTATCTTGAGTTATCTTGAGCTATCTTGGAGGCCGTCTTGCGCTCTCCGAGGCCCACCTTGAGGAGCAATATTGGGCGATCTTGGGCGCTCTCACCCCCCACGGGGCGCCCCGTCCAGACCCAGTGGAGGGGGTAGGGGAAGGGGTCAGGGCCCCCCCCCCCCCGATAGCAAGCCGTCCAGCTCACTACCACCCGCCCTTCCAACACATGAGTATCACCCGAGCCTGAGCATGTTCAGCGGTCGCCTTTGACTGGACAGCTACTGGGAACCAAAGCCGCCCCCATGTACGCGACGCTGGGGCGAGATGCGCAACGCGTGCCAGGCGCGCCACGCGCGCCAGGCACCCCTAGGGCCCGCGCGTGCCAGGCACGCCTGGTGCGCCAGATGCGCCACGTGCTCCGCGTGCGCCAGGTGTGCCGCATACTCCAGCCGCGCCAGGTGCGCCACGTTCGGGGCACGTGCAGAGTGTATCAGGTGCGCCTGCGCACGTGGCAGCACACATCGGGAAACATGTCGGCCCCCATCATCCTTGTCGAAAAACCAATGCCTATCATTGTGTCTGGTGGGCCTGCGCACAGCAGGCCACACGCCACCACCCCCGCCGACCCTGTCAGAAACCACTTGACAGGCTTGACAGGGATCGCGGGGTGGCTGCGCATGATCCAGATTTAGCCGCGAGTCGTATTTTGTACTGTTTTCTTCTGTCAGGTATGGTAGCCCCGCGCGCAGCAGGCAATATGCTGAAACCCCCGCCGCCCCTGCCAAAAGCAACGCACATTGCTCGCGGGCCTCACGTACATGACTTACGACATTGCCCCAAATTGTATTTTGCATGTTTGTTCCCAACCATCCTGTGGTGTTGGGTCCTCGTTTTGAAGAGACGGTGCCCCGCGTTCCTCTCCTCTCCTCTCCTCTCCTCTCCTCTCCTCTCCTCTCCTCTCCTCTCCTCTCCTCTCCTCTCCTCCTCTCCTCCCCTCCTCTCCTCCTCTCCTCTTCACCCACCCAGTACACCGCTTCGTGGCTCCATAGGGAGCTCCACCGAAGGCCCCAGTGCCCGCGCCCGCATGCGTCACCCACACCCATTTCGGCACACCCCTCACACGTTTCGTGGCTCCATAGGGAGCTCCACCGAAGGCCCCAGTGCCCGCGCCCGCATGCGTCACCCACACCCATTTCGGCACACCCCTCACACGCTTCGTGGCTCCATAGGGAGCTCCACCGAAGGCCCCAGTGCCCGCGCCCGCATGCGTCACCCACACCCATTTCGGCACACCCCTCACACGTTTCGTGGCTCCATAGGGAGCTCCACCGAAGGCCCCAGTGCCCGCGCCCGCATGCGTCACCCACACCCATTTCGGCACACCCCTCACACGTTTCGTGGCTCCATAGGGAGCTCCACCGAAGGCCCCAGTGCCCGCGCCCGCATGCGTCACCCACACCCATTTCGGCACACCCCTCACACGTTTCGTGGCTCCATAGGGAGCTCCACCGAAGGCCCCAGTGCCCGCGCCCGCATGCGTCACCCACACCCATTTCGGCACACCCCTCACACGTTTCGTGGCTCCATAGGGAGCTCCACCGAAGGCCCCAGTGCCCGCGCCCGCATGCGTCACCCACACCCATTTCGGCACACCCCTCACACGTTTCGTGGCTCCATAGGGAGCTCCACCGAAGGCCCCAGTGCCCGCGCCCACATGCGTCACCCACACCCATTTCGGCACACCCCTCACACGTTTCGTGGCCCCATAGGGAGCTCCACCGAAGGCCCCAGTGCCCGCGCCCGCATGCGTCACCCACACCCATTTCGGCACACCCCTCACACGTTTCGTGGCCCCATAGGGAGCTCCACCGAAGGCCCCAGTGGCGGCGCTCACATGCGCATGCGTCCCGCACACCCATTTCGGCACATCCCTGACAGGTTTCGTGGCCCCATCATCCACCGGAGGCCCCAGTGGCGGCGCTCACATGCGTCACCCACACCCACCCAATTCGGCACACCCCTCACACGTTTCGTGGCCCCATAGGGAGCTCCACCGAAGGCCCCAGCGGCCGCGCTCACATGCGTCCCCGCCACCCATCCCGGCACGCCCCTCACAACAACAGGTTTCGTGGCCCCATAGGGAGCTCCACCGAAGGCCCCAGTGGCTGCCGCCCGCATGCGTCACCACCCGCACCCAATTCGGCACACCCCTCACACGTTTCGTGGCCCCATAGAGAGCTGCACCGAAGGCCCCAGTGGCGGCGCTCACATGCGTCCCCGCCACACATCCCAGTACACCCCTCACGCGCTTCGTGGCCCCATAGGGAGCTCCACCGAAGGCCCCAGTAGCGGCGCTTACATGCGTCTCCGCCACCCATCCCGGCCCCCCCCCCCGCAGCAGCATCATGTTTCGGGGACCCATAGGGAGCTCCACTGGAGGCCCCAGTGGCGGCCCGCACATGCGTTTCCGCCACCCATGTCGGCACGCCCCGCGCGTGTTTCATGTCCCCATAGGGAGCTTCGCCGAATGCCCCAGTGGCACCCATCTCGGCACACCCCTCACACGTTCCGTAATCCTATGGGGAGTTCCATTGAAGATGAAACCCGCAGCTGCGGTACTGACAACTGCATATGGTTGGGTTCTTCGCCAGGCTAATTTTACAGGGATGCTTGGGGGGGAGAATCGGGTTGGCCGCGCATGCTCCAAGTGTGGAGGCAGAGTGCGTTTTGTATGGTTTTTGTCAGGGAAGGTGGGGGGGGGTCGATCATGGTGTTCTCATTGTTCCTGGTTGGCTGCCGGTCGGCTGGGGGAGGGGGGATATTAATGGGGAGCAGAGATAAACCCCTCCCCCGAGCAGGGGAAGGAAGAATTCTGGCAGGGAGAAGACAAAACTCGTCAAACCACCTACGCGCAGAGGGCTGATGGGATTATTTCTCCGCGGCACCCGCCGCGCAACAACGACAACGACGACTACGACTACGATTATGAGTACGACTACGACCACGATGCGACATGAGCAGCAGTAGGAGAAGGAGGAGGGGCGGAGCTTATTTCCCGCCGAGAGGAATAGGGGGGATTCCCAAAACTAACGACCTCCTGAGGTTGAAAGAGACACTCACTCTCGAGTGCCGCCCTCAACGCAGGTTGGCAATTCATAGGTGCGCTACCTGGTCATACTTGCATGGCGACTGTGGCGCCCCATTGCCCGCGGAGGCAACACGTTTGTGCGTTTGTGCTTTGTGTTTGTATATGATTCGAGGTTGGGGCGGGTCATCTTTTTCCGACCTTTCGGGGCACGGCTTGGGCAGCGCCATAATGGCCACGAGTAAGAGGCAGCCCTACAGCGTGGTCTGATGTGTGAGAATCCGGATGTGTCGCTTTCGTGCATCACCACTGCGTCTCCATGTTCCTGTCTTTCGTGAGTTAGGTCCGTGTGTTTTTGTTTTCGAAGGCTCTCTCTACCGTAAGTCCTCTGGCAGCCAAGCGTTGTCAGACCATCAGATGCGCAATGACACCGTTGTAGGCGGCACGGCCCCCCAAGTCTGCTTCCCGTCGTGATTTAAAGATCTGCGATTTCTGGATGGGTCGTCCAAATGGCGTGCTACCGCGGTGGGGCATAGGTCAGCTCGAATTGTATATGGAGATCTGAGATTGGGCTTATAGTTCACTTGCTACCGAGCGCCCTCACGCCGATACATGGACCGTCTCGCTTGCCATTGCTACAGCCGGCGCTACCGAGGGTCTCTCGGGCACGGCAGTTGCAGAGCACATCGCCATCAAAAGGGCTGATGATTCAGCTGCCTGCCCTGCGCTGGAACTGCTCGCCTTGTGACGCGCACCCCCGCTGAATGCATGCCCCACCACCCACCAAACCACCCCAACCCAATCCGAAGACCCGAATTTGCCCTCCATTCCTTATGGGGGGTGTCGTCGGAGAACATAACGTATGGAACCCGTAGCACCCCCAACCCGAAATTTGATTCGTCTGGTTGGGTTGGGGTGATCTGGTAGGTAGTCAATGCCATCTGTCTTCGCGGACTCGAGAGCTATCGGACGTCCTGCCCCCCTCTGGCCGGAGCCCAGAGGCGCGCGGGTGCCCCCCCCCCCAAGCCAGGCTCGCGCGCTGCCCGACGGCCACCCCCTGAAGGCGAAGTCGGTCCACTTCGTGATGGTCCCCGAGTACGATCCCGAGGCCCTGGACCCGGGCATCCAGAGGGCAGTGGCGTCGATGCAAACCGTCATCGAGCTCGGGCGGGTGTCGCGCGAGCAGAGGCAAGTTGCGCAGAAGATGCCGCTGAAGTCTATGACTATCTACAATAGGGACGAGACTTTCCGGAATGACATCGCCCTTCTGCAGGCGTACGTCAAGGATGAGATCAACGCAGTCGAAATGGTGCTCGAGAGCAAGCCGGGAGATGAGAAACTCACGGCAGCGCTGAACTTCAAGGTGGCGGGGAAAAAGCTCGGCAAAGATATGAAGGCCGTCAAGGCGGCTGTGGAGAGCTTGTCCCAGGAGGAGCTTGTCAAATTCGACTCGGAGGGCAAGATCACAGTCTGTGGCCACGAGCTTGTGTCAGAAGACGTGTCGATCTCCCGTGAGGTGGCTGGCCTGGATAACCCGGATCTTCAAACTAGCAGGGACAAGGATACCGACACCATGCTCGTACTCGATTTCACTTCCGATCCCGCGTTGGTGCTCGTTCGCGACTGCCGTGAAATTGCCACTCGTGTGAACCAGCTGAAGAAGGCGTCCAAGATGAAGCCCGACGATCCCATCGATATTTGGGCCGAAGTGGTAGACCCCAAGAAGGATTCCCCCTTACAGGCTGCCCTTATGGGCAAGGTGGATCTCCTCGACAAGCTTCTTCGCAGGCGCCTGTTCCGTGCCCCGCAGATGCAGGGCCACGAGGTCGTCGTCAAGACAGAGGACCGCCGTGCGTGGCTCTCGGTCTGGCACGCCGAGTGATCAGTAACACATGGTTCCTACAACTCTCCCAAGCCCCACTGCTTGTCCCCCACCCACCTCCAACCAACCGACTCACTCTGTCTTCGACTCGACGGCACGCATTCTCGCAGCGCCTCCAGACTAAGCCCCTCAGCTTGGCACTCCCCTTCACCCCGCCCCCCTTTTCCTTGTCCCCGCGTGCCAGGTAAAGCAAGGAGAGCGGTAAAGGGAGGGCAGAGCCTCCCCTTGGCCCCTTCCACCCTTCACGCCCTCTTCCCCCGCCCTTCAGTTGTGTTGTCCCTGTCGTTCTCTCCCCTCTGACTCCTCGGGCTTCGGGACGGGCCGCTGTCGAGGACTACGACGTCAACGGAGAGAAGCTGCGGGTCACCCTGACAGACCGGACTGTCTACTTTAATGACACTGCCCTGGCAGAGCTCTCCGGCGGAGACGCCTCTGTGGGCGATGCATTGCGGGGGCACCTGAAGAAGCTCACGCTGGTGCAGCTGTCCGAGGCCGCCATGGGTCGGGAACCCTGCGGCTGTGGACGGGATTTTCAAAGCTACATGTTGCACTCCAGAAGGGGCCTCGGCTTCGGCGAACCTCGCCTTCGTCGGAGACCAGCGGAAGTAAAACGGCGGTGGGACCGCCGGAGGAACCCGGCGGACGGTCTGCGGAAGGCGGCGGAAGCAAGTGGGAGATATCAACATTTTGGGATTCTGGGTTTCCAGAATCGGGCATATGGGTAAGGATGCTACATCCTGTCTGTCCGTGGAGACCCTCACCCTGCGAGCCCTCTGGCCTTCTGCAGCGGCTCGAAAGTGTTGATGGTTTCAGTCGTATTGTTGGCCGGCAAGTCCTCAGGCTGGCGCTCTCTTTATGTGGCTCTACCGAGTGGTGCGCTGGCTTCTACCTGGACGCCTAGACCCCGAACCGTTAATGCATGAGCACAAGCTCGCGTCCGAGCATCAGGGGGTCGGAGACTGCGCCGTTGCAAAAGTTCGTGAGGCTCTATGAGAGCTGAAGATGATGGGAGCTTCGTCCGTTACATCCACGATGGCGCGGGGGCGACGGTTGACCCCTGTTCCGACCCAACCTGAGCTTGCCCCCCTTCTCCCAAATAATCCGAACGAGCTGAGTCAAAAGCGGTCGGAACAAATATTCGGGATTCTGGGAATCCAGGATTTCATTCTCTGAATAAAACATCATATCTCTTAACAGACAAATTTGAAATCCCAAAGCACAACACACGGATTTAGACATCCTACCAGGCGGGACCCGGCCCTTGCCATCGCAAGACGATCGCATTCTATTTGATCGCGAAGTGTTCGGAACGCTGATGCAGTTGGGGGTCCTGGATGCGACACACACCGGCAGTTCCAGGCGTACTTCGCAGCACGTGCCTGCCGTCTTCCCTCTTGAGTCCCGTGTCGCCCCCGCGGGGCCTGTGATTGGCATGCTCGCTTGTGCCTGTCACGAGCGATCGGTCGTCACACATCGCGGCAGGGGTCGAACAACAGCCTCGCATGGCAACCGACCCCTCTCACCGCAGCGCAGGGTTTGCTGCAAAGCAGAGGCAGCATGATTCTCTTGGCGGGCTGCTGTGCCGAGGGCCGGGGTGCCATTTCTCGAGTCAGGGTTGGTCTGCGACGGCCGTGTATGCCTGAAGCTGGGCGAAAACGCCTGGTGTGAAACAATGTCGCGCCCAGATCTCGGGTATGCAGCACGAGGCTCGAAACGAGAGGAACCAACGTCGCCGCAGAGTACAGTCGAAAACGACAGGGAGGGTGGGTGATCTTCCCAGGGGTGCCCTTGCATCCTTGCCTCCTCGGTCTATCCTTCACCACTTTCGATGGCCAGCCCCGCTCGAAGAGCTTCGACCTGGCCTGCCAGGGCCCCTGCATCCTTACCTCAGGAGCGAAGGAGGTACGTACACGTACACGAATCCGCGTTGGCTTCGAGAGTACGCCTTGCGCGAGCGTTCGTATCACGAGGCCATTGCTTGTGCCCATTGCGTTTTGTTCAATTGAAATGCCCCTCCTGGGGCTCGCACCCTGTTTCGTACAAGGGCGAGTCTTGCGCCTCGGAATGCGCTGCTGCCCCCGGACTAAGCTCCCGCTTGTTATTTCCAGACGATTTATTTTAAATCGCGCTGTCGCGCGGGATTTCCTCACCATTTATGCAGGAAGCGCGCTCTCGCGTAGTAGTTCCTCGCAATTCGTTGCGGCGCCATGCCCCCAACACTCAGGAATCACGCTCCCGCTTTTGGATATCCTCACGAAGTATTTAGGAATCGCGCTGTCGCTCGAGACTTCTTTGCGATTCATGCAGGACTGACGCTTTGGCGACCCGCACCGCACGCCCGACCCGCTCCCTAAGAGTCCGCTGGCTCGACCCGCCCAGTTGATTCTACCGCTTTCTGTTCTGCACTTAACCCTCCTGCTAATCTCTCTCGTGCTCCATCCTTCTCCCTCCCCTTTGTCCCTTCTTTCGTCCATTTCTCTGTTGTAGGGGCTGCGCCAACTACACTTGGCAGGTAAGAGCCCCCAAGGGGGATACGATCGAAGACGAAGAGGGCATGTACATGTCGAGGATTTGGGACATACGTTGTAAATGACACACGAGCAGATCAGAGCGAACATAATTACAACGAGTGTGAGTTTCTTATTTCTAACGTATAATTATTGATGATCCCCCCTGCCAGGTGCACAGTGGGTGTTTCAATGAAAGTGCTCCTCCCGGGGCTTGCACTGTTTTTTTTCATCAGGGAAGTGTTGGTCCTGAAATTTTGTTACAACAACAGCGGTTCACGCCTGATACTTCCTCACTGTGTATTCCAGGTTCGCGCTTTCGCGCGGAACTTCCTCATAATGTTAGCAGGAATTTCGCTGTGGCGTGGCATTCCCTAACACTTGATTGCGGCGCCGCGCCCACAGCACTCAGGATTCACGCTCTCGCTTCGGATCTCCTTACGATTTGCTTGGGAATCTCGCTATCGCTGAAGACATCCTCGCGATTCATGCAGGATTGACGCTTCAGCGACCCAGCCGCTCGACCCCGCCGTCTGGGCCCGCCCGCCCGACCCGCCAGGTAGGGTCCGCCGGCCCAACCCGCCCGTTTGGTTCTGCCGCTTGCACTTCTGCTCCTTACCCTGCTCCTGCTAATCTCTCTCGTGTTCCATCCTTCTTCCTCCCACCTGCCTGTCTCCTCCTCCCTCCTTCCCCTGTTTCAGCGGCTTCGCCAACTATACGCGGCAGGCAGGGAAGATACATCCCCGAGGGGGACACGATCGAAGACGAACAGGGCGGGTATCGAGGGAACTTGATATTCGTATTGAATGGCACGCGAGCAGATAAGAGCGAACACTCTTAACATGACTGCTGTTGTTGCTGCTGTTGTTGCATGTTGTTGTTTTTGCCACAATTTGCACCCCCTGAGACCTGACGTCGCGAGCAAACTGCAACATGCTGGAGAATCGCGACCGGAGCCCTCGTCCCCATCCTTCTGCTGTAGATCTCGAGCCAGACCCACCCGTGAGGGCACAGGACTAGAATCCGAGTGAAAACGCCAGGCGTGAGAAAAAACGCAACGCCTGGATCTCTCAGGTCGAGGAGGCCTAGACCATGTCCTTCCCGGGACTGCGCATTTCATCCAGCCCCCAGGGATCGGTGGGGGCTCCTGGAGGCAGAACATTAATGAGGAATTTCAAGGAGGCCTCGCGCGGCGCGCAAGTCGAATTTTTGTTTGTCCACAGTGCTCTCCGTCAGACATATGACGACGTTCGCGCGGCGACGCTGCGACGTAAGTCCGATGCGAGTCTGACCTGAGACCCACGCAAATCCAACGCTGTCCGACGTGAGCCCGACGCAAATCCGACGGCGACTGAGTCTCAAGCTGCTGCGCGAAGCCTCCAGGATTTTCCTCAGAAGAGCAATGTCGCAATTTCCAAAAATCTGCTTTGCATCTGCGGGGGACCTTCCCTGTCCTGTAAGTTGCAGTCTTTTCTTGAATTCCTACGTGGGCTCGGCGCGGATTCAACGCGAATTTGACACGAGTGCGACACGGATTCGACAAGGATTTGACGCGCTCGACGCGGATTCGACATTGATTCGACGTGGATCGCGGCGCGACGGGGCAGACATCGATGTCACCCAAACATACTGATATGATGTGTGCGTCACCCCCCAGCGGCGACGCACTCGCCGAGAAATCTTGTAGAATAAGTTCCGTGGCGAGAGCTTTCTGGCCATACCTCTCGGGAAACCATAGGCATCCACATGTTTGTCCTATATGCTCGAGTCGGACACGCCTTCAAGGAGGTCACACCGTACTCGTACGTCGTTCTGCTTCCCAAGACAAGGCCCCCCGAGGATGCAGTGCAACCAAAACGTTCCGTCGTGATTCTGCTCGCGGCTCGACGAGGCCTGGGGCGGGAGGAGGGCCCTGCCCCGGGAGGCCCAGACCGTGACCGTCTCCGGGACGGCCTACGAGCTGGCCCCGGGCTCGGCGAGGGGGCGGCTCTTCGGAGGCCCTGCGGCGATCGCGGGTGCTCGTGCCGCGGCGCCAGGGCGAGAAGGTGCCGCTGCCGCTGCCCTTCGACCGTCTCCCCCCTGTTCCCACCTCGAGATCCTGGTGAGAACGCGCCCCGGCCGAGGTCCGGGCTGTGCACCCCGTAATAACTCTTTAGAACAAGCAGCAGTTTTCCTGGACTCCAGATTTCGTTCAAGAGCAACAAGAATCTGGACCAGACCCTGGGCGTTTTCCCTGAGCTTCCTTTCTCGTCCCATGTCCGTCGACCTAGACCCAGACTATTTTTTAACAAGAAAGCATTTGGAGCGAAACCCATTTTCTTAGCCTCAGATTTTCAGAACCCAACGCCGACGCTATCGCGGCGCGAGCCCGTCGTCGCAGCCGAGGCAGAGGCATTCCACACCGTCGCTCTCGAGCGGCACCCGCAGCGCCCGGGCGGTTCGAGCCCCCGGGATGCAGCGTGATGCTCCCCCCCCGGGCCGCCCGGGCACCGCTGCCGCCCCCGCGAGAGATGGAGCTCCCGGCCATCCGAAGCTCCGACGAAAAGTTGGAGCGGCCGATTCAGTTCGGCAGTTTGCGGCCTCCAGGGCGCACGCCACCCAGACCCCTTCGAGTCATGGCAGAGTCACGCAAGAAGGTGTTTCTCTGTTTTCGGCCTCCAGGGGCCCTCGCCTGGCCCAGGGACCGTCAGAAGACGACACAGGACGAACAGACGGCTCTGGGGGAGTTGCCCAGAACTCGGGGGGCCCACGCATCGAACAAGTTGGAGCGGCCCGATGTCTAGGCTGGTCGATCGACGCGTCACGAGGCATCGTCTGGAATTCCAGCGCCGTATGAGGATCCCGATGGATCCGCAAGGATGGATCGAGTTCACACATCGGTGCCGACAGTATTTCTATGGCCGCCCTGCCCGCCAGGGAAAAAACACACCGCTGCCCCAACCAGCCACTTATGCGGGGGAGGTGGAGTCAGGGGCAACGCTAGGGGGTGATAGGTTCAGGGGGAAGCGCATCGACCCCGAATCCCCGATTCATCGCCGACAGGGGCGCGGCAGCCTAGCCCGTCCAGGACCGTGTGATTTCGCAATCGGGGGCGTATCGTCAAGCCATCGGCGATGCATCGCCGATTGCATGTAGCTTCACGATTCCCCCCCCTCGGCCAGCCCCCCCTCCCGATCGTCCCCCCTCGTGGAGGTAGACTTCTGGAGCTCGGCACAGCTTTCTTGGGCCTGTGCTGGGCCCACCTGGCGGCGCCTCCGGCGCCGCATCCTGCGCGCTCCGCGCGCCATGGGGGGGGGGGGTTCAGCGGCGCCGATCCCAGTTTATGTTTATACTCCAAGACATGCGACGCCCTGATTTTTTCAATGCGGGGTCGCTGGAAGTCCCGACCCCTTCCCCGGGAGCGTGTTTTCGTCCTTCGGCCCGGTGAGGGAGGGCCCCCGAGAGGCCGAACATAGGCAACACACCGCCCGTCGCGATTTTTTCACGATGGGAGCATGTCTGGGTTCATGCAGCTTTTTCTTCCTCTACTGTTAGGGAATTGGGCTTGGCGTGTCGCTCCGCCAGGTCTGGCCCACCACGCTCTGACGCGACGCGCTGTCCACTTCCCGGTCCCCCAGCGTCAGCGTGCCGAGCTTTTCCGTGTCTCCCGCCCTGCGGAGCGGAGCGACATGCCATCACCTCGCAATGCTTAGCGTGTCGCCGGGGGCGCCGCCGCCGCGACACGCTACGCAAACACTCCTGACCGCACACCCATGCTGCGGAGGAGCCCCGCGCAGTGGCGCGGCGGCCGCGGTCCCGAGGCCCTACGCGGAGGGAGAATCACCGACCAGCCTTCCAGGAGGAGGAGGAGGAGGAGGAGGAGGAGGAGGAGGAGGAGGGGGAGGAGGAGGAGGAGGGGGAGGAGGAGGAGGAGGAGGAGGAGGAGTCTCTTCTCCCCCTGTCGCCCATGTTTGTTTGTCGCTTCCTGGAGCGGTGCTCCTGGCGACTCCTGCTTAGCTATACCAGCCGCCGGCTCCTGGAGCGGCGCTCCAGGAGTCGCCTGGCTGTGGTCTGATCACGCCCCCCAGGGGCCGACCAGCGCTCGGGGGGAGGGCTGCCGCCTCAGGAGAAGGACGACGACGGCGCAGGGGAGGCCGACGGCGCGCGAGCGCCCGGGGAGGCCCGCGCGCGCGTGGGCGCGTGCGCACCCCATCGGGCGGCCAAGAGCGCCGAGGTCCGGGGCAAGCACTTCTCCTGCGGACCCGCGGAGGCGTGGGCCTGCGGGGCCTGCCTGCGGGGCCGGTGGCATCGGAGGAAGAGGACGTCATCGATCACGATGATGAAGATGAAGGTGACGACGAAGGTGAAGATGAATACACATACGCAATGAAGATGAAGTGGTGGTGGTGATGGCGATGACGATGACGATGACGCCGACGACGATGACGAAGACAATGACGACGGTGATGATGGTGATGCTGATGATGGTGATGCTGGTTCTGATCATGATGATGATGATGATGCCGATGATGCTGACGATACTGGTGCTGACGATGATGAATGTGATAGTGATGGTGACGATGGTCGTGATGATGGTGATGATGATGGTCTTAATTGTGGTGATGGTAATGTTGAAGACGGCGATGTGGATTGTTGTTATTTTGAGGGCAGCGAGGATGAGGATGATGATGGTGATGATGTTGAGAAAATGACCATCATGATGACGATGTCTATGACAATGACTATGTTGACGATGATGACGATGATGATGCTGCTGATGATGATGAGGATGATGATCATGATCATGATCATGATGATTAGCATGATGATGACTATGATAATGGTGATGATGACGACGAATTCGATGACGACGACGATCATGCTGATTATGGCGATGATGACAAAGACGAGAACGAGTATGATGATCATGATGATGATGATGATGATGATGATGATGATGATGTTGATGCTGATGACCATGATGATGATGGTGAATCTGCTGATGATGATGGTGATGCTGATGATGACGATGGCAATGACAATTACAATGATGAGGATGCTGATCATGACGATGATAACGATGACGGTAATGATGCTGCTGATGAGGATGCGGATTGTGATGATCATGGTGATAACGATAGTGATGATAGCGATGAAAGTGAGGTTGTGATGTTGATGATGCCAATTACGGTGTTGGTGGCTGTAACGCTGACGAGGGTGATGCTGGTGAGAGTGGCGATGGTGATGCGGCAGATGATAGGGATGACTATGATTCGGATGATGACTACGATGGTGAGGATGGTGATGCTGTTACTGCCGATGATGATGCTGATGATGAGGAGGCAGAGGAGGATGAGGATGATGATGCTGATGCTGATGATGACGCTGATAGTGATGATCACGATGACGAATACGACAGTGATGGTACTGAGGATGGTAAATCGGTTGATGGTGACGATGGTGATGCTGGTTGTGATGAATCCGCCGCTCATGAGGGTGATGACGATATTGAAGCACAGTATGCTGATGCCAATGGCAAGGTCACGCATGGTGATGCTGATGGTTACTGTCATGTTGAGCATGGTGATCACGATAGCGATGCTGATGGCACAGGTCAAGATACAGATATAAAGACGACGATGAGGTTTACGATGGCGAGAATGAAGATGCCGACGACGATGACAGATATAACAATAACGATGATGATGATGATGAAGGAGATGATGAGGATGACTTGGATGATGAGGATGATGATGACGATGATGATAGAGTTTAGGACGATGACGATGGCGATGTTGATTATGATGATGATGCTGATGATAATGGTTATGCTGATAATTATGACGATGGTGGTGGAGATGGTGAGGATGTCGATGACGAAGTACGATGCTGCTGACGACGCCGATGGTATTGCTGTTCAGGATGATGATGGCGATGCTACGCTCCAAGCTTTCCAACAGTTCCTATACGCCTCGTGGCCCCTATCATATGTAGCTCCACCTACGGCCCGAATGAGGGCGGCCGCATGGCGGCACCACACCCAACTTGACGCACCCCTCGCCCCTCGCACGTTTCGGGGCCCCAGTCTCTGAGGAGAAGGGCACGGCCTGCGCTACACGCAGCTGCATGGGATTGGGCCCTTCTCCAGGCGAATTCCGCCCCTACTTCGTGCGCACCCAACCACCCCCTTGCTCTTCGTGGCTCGCCTCTCGCCCCTCGCAGGTCGCCCTGCATCCTGAAGCTGTCTGGTGTTCAGCGTGGCTGTGCGACTACTCTGGAACGAGTGTGCTGTGGAATGTCGTGGAGAATAGCACGGATCGTTTTCGATCGATGCGCTAATATGTAAACAGTGCATTGGTGTAAATCTGACATGTGGTAAGGAAGAGTTGAGACATGTTTGAGACGAGCGCATTGGTTGGTACTTGTCGTGCAGGGTGGTACTTCTTGAGCATGGAAGACGTAACATGTGACATTTGCTGAGTACGGCAGTAGGGCTGGTGTGTGTGTGCGCCTGTTGGGACGTGGAGTGCGAATGTTTGAGACTCTCTAGCATCAGCCCTGCTGGTGGGATGATCGGCGTGCCCACGCCAGGGGCCACAATGTTACGGGAGGTTCTCGCCGCGCTGTCGCGGCAGCGACCACATTGTGCGCTCAAGGTTCAACGCCGCCAGTGGCCTTCAACCGGCTGATATGCGAACGATTTTCGCTATCGGGAAGCCGCGGCAGTTCAAGGTCGAACGTTCCACGCGATGTCAAAATCCAATGCGCACATCGCCACTCACGACGTGAACTAGCCGTGCACACAGGTCCCCCTTCCTCTCATTGGGTTTCTCCCGGACCCCTCTTGGAGGCACATTGGCCGCAAAAGCCGCTTTGTGCCCACCAAGGTATTCCAGGAGGACTCCAAGACGACTCCAGGAGAGCCCACGAAGGCCCAAGATGCTCCAGGAGAACACCTGGACGGCTCCAAGAGCCCGCAAAAAGGCGCGTGGAGGACCCCTGGACACGCTCGTCCTCTCGACTTGCATGGATTTCCTGTAAATTGTCGTCAGGACATCCTGCATTCGTAGGCCGACCAAATGACCCCTGTCGTCGAGTTCGACGTCCGAGAGCAGCATGGGCCTTTTCTGCTACGTTGCGATAGGACCATCCTCGACATCTCAAGCCAGGTTGGCTGAACCATCCGACACGGTGCTGGGAATGCCTCCATTGGCGGTTGGGCGCTACCCCAGGCTGCGTTTCGCCCACAGTTGCCGATGATTCGGGCCCCAAGTTGTATGTTGTGCTCGCGCGCGCGCCGCGTGTGCGATGGTTTCAATTGGCTGTCATAAGTTGTGGACATGCTTTAAGTATGTCGGGACGAAGGCAACACATACAGACGTACACCTGCATGTATCATTGCTTGACCCGTTCACTACCGACTTGCATTCAGGCACTTACGTGACAACTTCACACTTGCCATGGGATTGAAGTCGATTGTTGCCTATACATGTATATCCCTCCCACTCCATCTCTCTCTCTCTATGTACGTGTGTGAGTGTGCGTGTGTGTTGTATGTCTTGTCGCCTAGTTTCGTTTTCTTGCGAGGCGGAGTGGATCAAAGCTGGTTTTGCACCAACTGCGCGAACTGACAAGCCAGAGGCAGCTCCAAAGAAGGACCTGCTGCCAAAGAGAAGGCTTGTGCTTGGAAGGCGGATTTAATGTTTTTGTTCCCCCGTGCACCCGCGGGCGCTCAAGCGCTTTCAAAAGATCCAGGCGCTTCCCGGGTCCTCGGGCTCCGCACCGTTGGTAGCAGCCTTGAACGCCAGCATGGCCAGTGCCTGGAAACAAAAACACTACATTAGTCTTGAGGGAGGCGTGGCAGAGCGAGGAGTCAGCATGGCCAGACGTAACAGCCAATGTGTAGAAGCACGGCCCACGAACTTGCACATGTGTGCCTGTTTTGGCGCGTTGGCACGGGCGCGGATTCGTGAAAGGGCACGCTGTTGCACACCTCGGCATTTTGCAGAATCACCGCGTCGGCCTCGACCCTTCGTCAGTCCCCCGTCTCGAGGGAGCTCACTGCCAGTTGGCCATCGCATCCCAGAGCTCGAGCTAGGGAGTGTGCCGCGTGACGCGCCTCACTGTGCGACAAGGCTTCCAGCGCAGGCGCGCAGGAGCGCGCCCCTCTGCACCTGGAGCGCCCGAGCAGGCCACCGCGGGCAGCACCCCGGGCAGACGGGAGCAGGCCTTCACGAAAGGCCCTCGTTCGACCATCCCTCGCTCGAGTTCGGCAGGCTTCGGCAGGCGCGTCCCCGACCCGGACCACGCCCGATAGAAAAAGCATCCGTATCGGAAGTCCCCGTTGCGGGCCGCGCGCTCTGCCGTTGGTTGGCCCCCGAAAAATATTGCTGGCAGGGGGACGGCGCGCGCAGAAGGGGCCCTCTCGCGGGAGGATCGCCTCACGGGGATGGCGTGCTGTTCGGACATCGGTGCTGCACGCGCCATCTGTCCAACGCCAACCGCAGGTGGGGCTCTTACATGGGGGGGGGGGCCTTGCTGGGCCAACTCGGGGCCTCTTGGGGGCATCTCTCGGGGCCCTCCGGGGTCGTCATCGGGGCCTCGTTTGGGCTCGTTCCGGCGGGTGGGCTCGCGCTGCTGCGGCAAAGCCAGGACGAGCCCCGTCGTCGGCTTTGAAACACCGGCTCCATGCGGCACTGGGTCGGGGAGGAAGAGATCGGGTCGGGGCCCGCGGCGCAGTGCCCGGCCTTGGGCCAAAGGGCGGCGCCGAGGGGGGGGCGCCGCGGATCGCCGCCCACCCCCCCCCCGACCCGATCTTCCCGTCGGAGGGGGAAGGAGGGTCATCAGGAGGAGGAGGAGGAGGAGGAGGAGGAGGAGGAGGAGGAGGACGCGGAGGGGGAGGAGGGGGGAGGAGGAGGAGGAGGAGGAGGAGGAGGAGGAGGAGGAGGAGGAGGAGGGTGAGGAGGAAGATGATCAGGAGAACGAGGTCGAACGAGTCAGCGGGCCCGGCCCCGCTTGCGCCCACCCCTCCCTCCCGGAGCAGAAGGACCACTGCTGGATGCATCGGGTGTTGTGCCTGGCGCGTACACCTTAGGCGATGCTTAAGAAAACCAAAGTTTTCGTCCAGAGTCTCGATGATTCTTAACTTTTCCATGCAAATCCCAGGATTTTGATAGAAGTTCTGGCTTTTCTTCAAGTTCTGAGACTATGAATTTCTTAACCCATGATTTCTTAAGCATTTCGCAGGGTGTATTCCCACCGAGCGAACGGAATGCGCTGGCGTGCGGTTCCGCTTCCGACGACTTGGCGAAGGGAAAGAACATGGGCCGCGCACAGGCGGGAGCGCCATTCGGCCCTCGCGCGCGCGGCCAGATGTCCTCTGACGCAGAGCATGCGCCGCGCCGGAGCAGCAGTGCCACTTTCACGCGACATCTGTGCGGCGCTGGAGCGAAAACGACAGTTCGTCCGCTCGCGCGCGGCCTCTCTGCCGCTGTCCGGAGGCTTGGGGGGTGTGGCAAGTGTGCCGCGCCCGAGCGGGACGTCACTCCCACGCAACATTTGCATGGAGCGTGGGCGAGGGCGACACTTCCTCCGCTTCCCTGCTGCCCCGCGCCCACCACGACTTGGCGAGCGGAAGTTGTGAGCCGCGCCAGAGCGGGAGCGGCACTTCTGGGCGAACAAGGCGCGGCAGTTGGGCGAGAACGGCATTTCGCTCGCTCACGCGCGACCCTGCCATTGGACGAGTTAGCGAGCGAAAAACAAGCGCCGCGCACAAGCGGGAAGTACAATTGCCAGGCAAAGTGAGCGTGGCGCCAAGACGAGATCAGCATCTCACACTCGCGGGCGCAGCGTGCGCCGCGTCCCATCCTGTTACACATTGCGGCACGACGACAGCATGCCAGTGTTGAATGGTCAAACGTAGACGTTGTATTAAGTCGGTCGGACAGAAGGTCCCGGATGTGGCGGCTATCGTCCAGCTGGGCGGTAGAGTGGGTGTGTACGTGTTACCAGTTGTACGTGTATTAATATGGGCAGTGATCAGAACATGGCGAGGTGACCGTATTGTGATGGCGGTGTTTGTGGTGATTGTGGTGATATTGGTGTTGTTGGCCGAGGTGGCGAAGATCAGCAGCAGCAGGATAATCCGCTGATGTTCGCGATTGTGACGAGGAGTGTGGTTGTGATGATGATGAGGGTGCGGGTGATTATGAATATGAGGTGGCGGCGCATCAGCAGCAAGACCTTGATGAGGTGGTAACGGATGCAGAGTTGGATGGGCATGATGAGGAGGAGGACGAGGCGAATGATGATGATGATGATGATGATGATGATGATGATGATGATGATGATGATGATGATGATGATGATGTTGCTCATGATGATGATGATGATGTTGATTAGAAGAAGGAGGACGAACCCACACATAAGGATGATGAGCAGCATGATGAGGATCAGCGAGCTTGCAGCATAATGATGACGATGGGGGTGATGATGGTGATGGCTGTTTTGGTGACTATGACGATGAAGATGCGGTGGATAAGGATTAATAATATTATAACGACCATGCATTTTGATGAGGAGGGGAGGTGGGGATGATGATGACGATGCTGATGATGATGGTGGTGGTGATGATGATGATGAGGAGGAGGAGGAGGATTCTGATGCTGATGATTATGCTGCTGATGATGATGCTGTCGATGCTGATGAGGATGATGATGCTGATGATGATGATGCTGATGATGCTGCTGCTGATGATGATGATGATGATGATGATGCTGATGCTGATGCTGATGCTGATGCTGATGATGATGATGATGATGATCATGATGAGGAGTAGGGCGAGGAAGAGGAGGAGGGGGAGGAGAGGGAGGGGGGACGGGAGGATGAGGGACATGAGAAATGGTAGGAATATATGAATGCGTGCATGCTGAGGGGGAGGTGGAAGAGGAGGGGGGGCATGATCCTCGATGACGGAAGAATTCTCATTTTAGTAACACAGTGAAGACGTAGCCGTCCTGAGGCCGCCGTTCTTGCGTTGGGGATACAAGTTCTGGGTGGTTTGACTTGATACCTCTGCTGTGAAGGCTCCCTATTCCCAATATTTTTGCCTGTTAGCTAAGGTCCACTCCCAAACATTAAAGGTCCGTTACTTGCGAATCACATGATGAGGATAGAGGCGCAGTAGAAGGCTGAGCAGGATGAGGAGCGGAAGCAGGAGGAGGGGGATTCCAGTAGAAGGCGGAGGAGGGGCAGGGAGGGAGGGAGGGCGGCAGGGAGGTCGAGAAGGGGAGGGGAAGGGAGAGACGGCAGGGGGGGAGGGAAGATAGGAGGGAGAGCTACGGAAGGGGAAAGGATGGGAGGGGAGGGGTGGAGAGAAGTGGGACACGATGGAGATGCCAGACGGCTGGGTCACAGGCCCGCCTTCCTCGCGCGCGTGCGCGATTCAGGACGCGAAGCCCAAGAAGGAGGCCAAAAAGGACGGGAAGGCCTCCTCCCATCAGCGGGCCAGCGGCCAGTCCCGCATGCTTCCCGAGGCTTTCGCAGGTCTTCGTGTTGGTTGCCGGAGGCTTCCCAGATGTAGCCGGGCGGGATTAGGACAGGGATAATTCGTTCCAGAGCATTCCAGAACGTTCTCGGACCGTCCCAGGGCGCTCTACACTGGCCGCGGCGCCCGATGCATCCTCCAGAACTGCCAGATCTCAGAGGTGCCCGATTTATCCAGGTCCGATCTTGCCCCTGTCCTGCTCTCGTCTCATGAAGGAGGAGGAGGTGGAGGAGGAGGAAGAGGAGGAGGAGGAGGAGGAGGCGGCGGCGCCCGCGGAGGCAGAGGAGGCCCCCCAGCACCCGTGCTGGAGAAGGCCCCCCGCTCGTGCCCCACAGCGCCGCGGGCCAGCCGCGCCTCCCGCCTCAGGAGCTCGCCCGCCAGCCGCGGTCGCCGCATCGGGCACCGCCGCTCGGTGGCGCCCCCCGCGCGTGCTGCTCTTTGCCGCGCCCCGCGTGGCGAGGCGGTGGGCGTGGGCCTGGCCGCGAGCGTATGGCCCACGCGCCGCACGCGCCCCAGCGCCTGCCGCTCGCACGCCACGCGCCTGGCGCTCGTGGGGGTGGAGGCGCACCAGCAGGGGGAAGACAAGCACCGACACAGGTGGCCATCGACTCCGAGGGAAACATGGGCCAGGTGGGAAGTGGAAGGGAAGACGAAACTCCGGAACACATGGGGACTCCTGGGATGTGTATTTGTTTGTGTGTCCCTTGCTGTACTCGTTCTCGTACCCGTATTGGGCCCCGCCGCCGCTGGACCCCGGCGCAGCCGCCGCCTCTGTCCCCGCTGGCGGGGCTGGCCGCGTCTGCCGCTCTGGGAGTGGCCCGTCCCCCCTGAGCGGTCCTCGCCTTTTCCCCCTCCCCGCGGCTGCAACGGTGCCCCTGTTTAGTTAGCTTCTTCCGCCAGCGCAGAAATAAACAAGTGCGTCCGATGCAAAAAAAGGTGTCCCTGGGCCCCTGCAGAGAAGAGCGCGCGCCTGGCCCAGCCCGGGGGTCGCACCCGAGGCCGCCAAGCCCCAGGGGCAGCAGCAGCAGCAGCAGCAGCAGCAGCAGCAGTAGTAGCAGCACAATGCAGGGCCTCGGCGCCCTCCGTGTCCTCTTCTTGAGGGCGGCGGAGCGGCGCGGCGGCTTGTCCTGGCAAGGAGGTCAGGGAGGAGGAGGAGGAGGAGGAGGAGGAGGAGGAGGAGGAGCAGGAGCAGGAGAAGGAGGAGGACGAGAAGCAGCAGGAGCAGGAGGAGCAGGAGGAGCAGAAGGAGGAGGAGGAGGAGGAGAAGGAGGAGGAGGAGGAGGAGGAAGGAAGAGAGGAGGAGGAAGGAAGGAAGGAAGAAGGAAGGAAGGAAGGAAAGAAGGAAGGAAGGAACGAAGGAAGGGGAGGAGGAGGAGTAGGAGGAGGAGGAGGAGGGGGGGGAGGAGGAGGAGGAGGAGGAGCAGGAGGAGGATGAGGAGGAGGAGGAGGAGGAGCAGGAGGAGGAGGAGGAGCAGGAGGAGGAGGAGCAGGAGGAGGAGCAGAAGGAGGAGGAGGAGGAGGAGGAGGAGGAGGAGGAGAGGAGGCAAGAGTCGGGGGAGGAGGAGGAAGGAAAGGAAGGAAGGAAGAAGGAAGGGGAGGAGGAGCAGAAGGAGGAGGAGGAGGAGGACCAGGAGGAGGAAGGAAGGAAGGAAGGATGGATGGATGGATGGATTGATGGATGGACGGAAGGACAGAAGGGAGGAAGGAGGAAGGAAGGAAGGAAAGAAGGAAGGGAGGAAGGAAGGAAGAAAGGAAGGAAAGAAGGAAGGAAGTGGAGGAGGAGGAGGAGGAGGAGCAGGAGGAGGTGGGGGAGGGGGAGGAGGAGGACGAGGAGGAGGAAGAGGAGGAGAGGGAAGCGGAGAAGGAGGAGGAGGAGGAGGAGGAGCAGGAGGAGCAGGAGAAGAAGTAGTAAGAAGAATTATTCACTGCGTGGAGCTCCCCATATGTGCATCTGTTCGCATGGACCTGTCCGCCGTGAATGTCTAGGCGCAAGAGCTTTCGAATATAAACGGTACTGAAGATCAGCGCGTTATGGAAGGCCGATACCAAGCTTTCCTCGTCGAGCCTGCGAGTGTTGCCACGGCCGTCAAGCTGTCAGGCACGGGGCCAGCCATCGCCGACTTCTGTGATATGTTCGTACGTCCCGCGCACAACTTCGCCTCACATGCGCAGTGTACCGTCAATACGCTCGTTGAGTGGGAAGGGTGATATCAACGTTTGCATGTGTGTCTGCAGCGTGTGCTTTTAGCATTCCTCTCATTCAAATTTCAGGTTCCTGCACCGAGGCAGTCAGACGTGGTGGGCCATCTCTCTCGCTGCCCGGAGAGTTCTCCCTACAAGGGGCTCCCTGTGGGGTGACTGAGTAGGGCGGCATGCTCCGACCAGGTGGTTGCCCACAAGCTTGCAGTCCTTTCTTGCACCTTGGAATACGTCGTTGGCACGTCGGTGACACACCATGTTTATAAGAATGCAGTCCGTTCAGCCCCTCAGTGGGGTAGGGGGTCCCGATTTCGGATCGGTTCGCCTCTCATCCGCCTTGTATGTATGTATGTATGTATGTATGTATGTAGGTAGGTAGGTAGGTAGGTAGGTAGGTAGGTAGGTATGTATGTATGTATGTATGTATGTACGTATGTATGCATGTATGTATGTATGTGTGTGTGTATGTATGTATGTATGTATGTATGCATGCATGTATGTATGCATGTATGCATGTATGTATGTATGTATGTATGTATGTATGTATGTATGTATGTATGTATGTAGGTATGCATGCATGCATGCATGTGGGAATCGGAGGAAAACGTGAACAATGAGGAGCAGGAGGGAGGAGGAGGAGGAGGAGGAGGAGGACGAGGAGGAGGAAGAGGAGGAGGAGGAGGAGGAGGAAGAGGGGGGGAGGAGGAAGAGGAGGAGGAGGAGGAGGAGGAGGAGGAGGAGGAGGAGGGGAGGGGAGGAGGATGAGGAGGAGGAGGAGGAGGAGGAGGAGGAGGAGGAGGAGGAGGGAGGAGCAGGAGGAGGAGGAGGAGGTGGAGGAATCGGAGGAGGAGCAGGAGGAGGATGGAGGAGGAGGAGGAGGAAGAGGTGGAGGAGGAGGAGGAGGAGGAGGAGGAGCAGGAGCAGGGGGAGGAGGAAGAGGAGGAGGGAGGAGGAGGAGGAGGAGGAATAATAATAATGGTACTAATAATAATATTGATAATAATAATAATAATGATAACAACAATAATAATACTAATAATAATAAAAATAATAATAATAATAGTAATAATATCATAGAAATATTAATAATAATAATAATAAGAATACTAATACTAATAATGAGCATAATAAAATTAACAATAATACTACTACTAATACTATTCATAATAATGATCATAAACATACTAATAATAATAGTAATACTAATACTAATAATACTAATTAAAATGATAATAATAATAATAATACTAATACTAATAATAATAATAATAAAACAAGTACTAAGCAAACAACGAATGCCAATACGAAGAGGAGGAGGAGGAGAAGGAACCGGAGGAGGAGCAGGAGAAGGAGGAGAGGAGAGAGGTGAAGGAGGATGGAGGAGGAGGAGGAGGCGGAGGAGGAGGAGGAGGAGGAGGAGGAGAGGAGGAGGAGGAGGAGAGAGGAGGAGGAGGGGGGAGAAGAGGAGGAGGAGGAAGAAGAGGAGGAGGAGTAAGAGGAAAAGGGGGGAGGGGGAGGGGGAAGGAGGGATCATGAGGGGTAATGAAGACGAGGAGGAGGAGGAGGAGGAGGAGGAGGAGGAGGAGAGAGGAGGAGGAGGAAGAAGATGATGATGGGGGGGGGGAGGAGGAGCAGGAGCACGAGGAAGAGGAGGAGGAGAGGGGAAAGTCGGATGGAGGATGGGGGAATTTGATGAGGAGAGGAACATGAGGAGGAGGAGGAGGAGGAGGAGGAGGAGGAGGAGAAGAGGAGGAGGAGGAGGAGGAGGTGGAGTGGGAGGGGATTGGGAGGGAAGGGAAGAGTGAGCAGGAGGAGGCGAAAGAAGAGGATGCAGAAAGGAGGAGGAGGAGAGGAGGAGGGAGGTGGAGGGAGAGGGAGGAGGAGGAGGAGGAGGAGGAGGAGGAGGGAGGAGGTGGAGGTGGAGGAGGAGAGGAGGAGGAGGAGGAGGAGGAGGAGGAGGAGGAGGAGAGGAGGAGGCGGAGGAGGAGGATGAAAAAGGCGGAGGAGGGGGAAACGGCGGAGGAGGAGGAGGAGGAGGACGATGAGGAGGAGGAGGAGGAGGAGGAGGAGGAAAAGGCGGAGGGAGGAGGAGGAGGAGGAGGAGGATGAGGAGGAGGAGGAGGAGGAGGAGGAGGAGGAACATGAAGGGGAGGAGGAACATGAAGAGGAGGAGGAGGAGGAGGAGGAAGGGGAGGGGGAGCGGGAGGGAGGAGGGAGCAGGAGGAGGAGGAGGAGGAGGAACGACGATGATGAGGGGGAGGGATGTGGAGGAGGATGAGGAGGATGAGCAGGAGGAGGGCAAAGGCGGAGGAGGAATAGGAGGAGGAGGAGGAGTAATAATGATGATGCTGATGCTGATGCTGACGATGCTGACGATGATGATGATGATGATGATGATGATGATGATGATGATGATGATGATGATGATGATGATGATGAGGAGGATTATGCTGATGCTGATGCTGATGCTGATGATGATGACGACGATGATGATGATGACGATGATGATGCTGCTGTTGTCGATGATGATGGTGATGATACTGCTGCTGCTGCTGATGATGATGATGATGGTGGTGGTTGTGGTGGTGGTGATGATGATGATGCTGATGATGATACTGACGCTGATGATGATGATGATGATGATGATGATGATGATGATGGTGGTGGTGATGATGATGATGCTGATGTTGAGGATGATGATGCTGCTGCTGCTGCTGCTGCTGCTGATGATGATGATGATGA